CAGAGAGTTTGCTTGGAATGAAGCGCAGATGCCACGTCGTTGAAGTCGTCGTGCGTCCTGGAGCCAATGGAGGGCGCCCCTCCGACGGGTACCGGAACAAGTGCCTCCTCGCGGAGGTGTAGTACGCCAAGCCGGTCGGCGACGAAGTCCAGGCTTCCGAAGAGGAAGACCTAGGACGGCTCGAAGACGGGTGGAACCCACATCCCAAGGGGTGGGAGTGCAGGAAACTCCAGTGAGCCAAAGTGAGTCAGATCGCTTGAGCCCACCATGGCGAAGGTGGTAGAAAAGTGGGTCATCCGATGACCAAAAAGTGTTGAACGTACAGTGTCTTCCCCACGGACGACGCCAACTGTCGATGCAGAAAGTGACCAACAAATAAATATTTGTAGTTTTGCTGTATGTTATGATCGGAGGTGGCCTAGCACTCAATGACACAGGGTTTATACTGGTTCAGACAACGTGCCCTACGTCTAGTTTGAGTCGGTCGGTGACTTTATTCCTGAGCCCAGGTGCTCGAAGTTTGCAGTGGGGTTACAAACGAGAAGGAGAAAGATGGAGGGTACAAGAGGTCCGGTCGGACTCTGGTCAGAGGGACCAAAAGCGACAGGAGCTCCGCTATGTGCTAAGTGTTTGAGCGTGTGCTCATGGTTTGCACCTGGTGGTTCTGCTGTTGTGTGCTAGTGAACTTGATCCATCTAATGAATCTGGATCAACTTGAATGAACTGGAATGAACTGAGTTATGTTGGAGGGAGTGTATCCCCTTTTATAGATGAAGGGGATGGCTTTACAAATGAGAGGGAGAGAGTACGTGTGCTTCCAAGCCTTGTTCCTGACGCTGGTGGGTACAGAATGATGGTAGGCGCCCACAATATTGTTGATGTTATTGTTGAATGTTAGATGTATGTGGAAGGTGGTGTTGTCTTTTTTGGGTATGGCAAACATTGGCACCTGCCATACTGTTGATTCCTAGAGGCACGTAAGGGGTTTTACCATGTTCACCTGGTACGGTAAATGCCGGTGCCCACAACACTGTTGATGCCCAGAGGCATGTGGGGGAGCCTTACCATATGAGAGTTAATGGCGCCCACAACACTCTAGGGCAAAACGTCAACGCCCACAACACTGCTTGAGTTCTGTAGTGTCAGGTGGGTCGCAGGGCACTGCCTGGTAGGTGCACAGGGTACGGTCCCTGGTATCGCGGTTTGACTTGTGCGCCCTGCCCTACTTTCTCTGTCTGTTTCCTGGTCCCTTCCGAGCGGGCGTCTCCGATCGGTTAGTTCCAGTCGGCCCTGATTGCGCCAGTCGGAGAAGAGCAGTGAGCAGGGGTTTGGTGCATCCCCGGTCGAAGATGCGGGTCGGAGTCAGAAGCGGTGTTCGGCCAGGCCTTCCGGTCGGAGAGGCCGTCCGGATGCGGGCTGGAGACCGAAGCGAGTGCTCCTGTCGGAGAGGTGGGCCGGAGTCAGAAACGGGCGCCGTTCCTCCTCGGCCAGGCCTTTCGGTCGGAGATTGGCTCGTCCCTCTGGCTTGTCGTTCAGGTATTTAGGCCGCCCTATGAGTCGCGCGTTTGTCTGCTTGGGATGAGCCTTTGTTGGGAAGCCGGTCCGCGAGGGACCTCGGGTTTATGAACCCGACATATAGGATGGACAAGGCGTTGTCATCACCGGCCCACTACCACAAACTATTTGTAGGGCTAGCCACAAACACACCCAAGCTATAGGCTAAACACCCACGAATTGAAGATATCCGTTTTTAGGCTAAAGACTTGTTACTTTAGTCAGGAATACCGGCGAATTGACTAGAGCACTATATAAAGAGCGGTGAACTAGTAAACAACAATGATATGAATCAACTCTTAATGCAAAAGATCATAGATGAAACAGAAGATCCCATACTTCACTCGAACAAGAGTTGCATCCACCGAGGTACAAGTGGAGGAGGATGCTGACAGGCCTGGCTCCTCTTCTAGCTTTCGAAGAATTTTTTCTATCCGATTCCAAAATATGGATGTTAACTGGGTGTAGGGATGAAAACGAACGGATACCGACGGATATTACTGATATTACATTTGTTTTCATATTTCTGTTCAGATTCTGATTCGCATATGGATAGTGTCAACTATGACAGATAGGATACGATTAGATATCGACATCATAAATATGCGATTTGAGTATTCGGATACGGATACGGTATCGGATATTGAATATCCAGACTCAGATATGCACAGATCTCAACCTCTCTAAATGGATTCGGTCTCGAATACGGTCAGAAAATATCGATACCGTTTTCGTCCCTAACTGGTATTCATCTTTGAAGATTTTTCTCTATCCGATTCCACATCTGTATCCGATAAAAAATGAAAAATATACGATATTATCCGTTATCTGCAAAGTAAAAATTATTTTGAAACCATCTAAATATTTCAATTGTGACTAATTAACTATGTAAATGAAATAAATTTAATATAACAAATTATATGTATTATTATTTAAAACTTATATGAGGCTATTGTAATTTTAATATTATTAATGATATATAATATTAAGTTTAATTAATGTTAATATGTCTAATCATATTAATTACTATTTGATTTTATTTATATAATTCTAAAATTTATTTTTATTTACTTGACAGTAATTAATAATATAATCTATAATTTTCTTATATTAATTTTTAAAAATATTGATTAAAATATTTAATTTGTGGTAGTTGTCTTTACCCTCCGTGTTATATAACTAGACTTGAAATCCCTTTATCCATAATGATCTTATTATACTACAAAACTATCAATAAGCAAATAGGTATATGTTATCTTAAAAACAAGTAGATATCCGAATTCAAGATATCCGTTTTGTATTAGTATCCGACAATATCTGTATTCGTGTTCAAATCCGAATTAAAATTTGATAAATAGAGGTATCCGAATTCGTATCCATCCGGATCCAATCTGAATCCATCCTTTGATGGCAAGGGGAAGAAGGGGCGGAGTCCGCGGGTACTTTTTTCTTTTTTCTTTTTTTTTTTTTTTTGCGCGGTCAAGGTTAGGGCTTGTTTGGATTAGAGGAATTTTGGAGTCTATCGTTCCTCTGGAAAGGAAGTGAATTAGGGCGTTTGGAAAAAGGGAAAACAAAATTCCCTTCCGGAGGAAAGGGTGTGAGCTGTGTGCATTTTGGAGGGAAAAAAGCATCCACCTGAAATCAATGGAAATCTGACGATTGGCGTGCCCTCTCTGTCTCTCATCACGTGGCTGCTCTCGCTTGCCTGTTTCCCTGCGTTTTTCCTGTGTTATGAATTCCTGCGTTCCAAACACCCATTCTAGTTATTTCCCGTATTTTTTCTTTTCTCTGTTTTACCACTACGCACTCACCTCATTCCTGTATTTTTTTCTATTCCCATGTTTTTTATTCATGCGTTCCAAACAGCCCTCGGTGTGTTCGAAAATCAGGTGGAATGGAAAAGAAGTGACAACTGACAAGGCAGGTGTAGGGCCAACTTACGTGTACAGTGCCAAATGGTTCGAGGATCTGCTGGTGAAGGAGGTGCGCAGAGGCATATGCAGAGAGAGTGAGGACGGGGGACTGAAAGAATTTTTCCATAAAAATACTCTAAACGTTAAACAAGATGATGATAAATAATATGCAATGATGATTTGTGTAGGGACATAATTTTGGTGATATGCAATGGATTATTAAAGATTAGAAATTATGAACTACTAATCTCGTTTTACGAAGAGTCAAAAAAAATCTTAAGTTTGACTAAATTTATTGAAAATATTATCTACATTTTGATCTCCAGTTAAATTTATTATAAAAATATATCACATAATTAATCTAATGATACTTTACACATCATAAACATCAATACTTTTTATATGCATTTGGCAAAAATTAAGAGTCTTTGACTTCTTGAAATTCGAGATTTAGAGCCTATTTGGAGGGAGCCGACGGCTTCGGCTAGGCTACTGTAGAGGAGCGGGTGAGCCGCCGAAGCCCATATCCCTGGCTCCTCTATCTCCTTCCCTGTGTTCGTTGCTTTTAGCTAGAGGAGTCGGTCGGCTCCTTGCTACAGGACAAAAAAGTGCAGCACCCAGGGAGCCGGAGCCAGCCTTCTTTGTGGAATGGAGGTAGTAACAATTTTTCATGAGCAAATATATGTTTTGAAAGCTTAAATTTCGTTCTATAGACTTCAGCGAACGTGACTGAGAAAAAAAGCGAGGAATGACATGAAAGTTTTGGTGTCGTTTATTGAGCCTAGTAAATTGGTCGAGCATAGAGTGTCTATGAATAAAGGCTCATAGTTGAATGATGAGACAAGTCATGAAGGCTACGGTTCCATTTCTGCCATATAGGGTTGTAAAAGAAGTGCCAACGGATGCGAGAGAGAGCGATGGTGTGGATACTCACGACTGGTTTAGTTAAAAAAATTTCACCCTAAACTATCACATCGAATTTTACGACTATTGCATAAAATATTAAATATAGACGAAAAAAACTAATTGCACAGTTTGGTTGGAAATCGCAAGACGAATGTTTTAAGACTAACTAGTCCATGATTAGCCATAAATGCTACAGTAACTTTAATCAAATATATTAAAAATATTAATATCATAATTAGTATTGTTAGTAGAGTTGCTAAATATATTTCTATAATAAATTATTTAGAAATACAAATATTGTTAATATTTGCTATGGTACACTCAAATAGACGTGGACGGTCGATCTGAATAGTAATATCATCTATTACCTTGTATGAGGTAATAGCCTAATAGGATATAAGGAAAACATCTTCCTATTAGATCTAAGAGCATCTCCAAGAGTTCCCTAAATATCTTTTTAATCCTTGTTTTTTAGAAAGATGAAAAAAAATTCTACAACAAATTCTAATATTTACTCCTAATCTTTTAAGACTTGGTAAATTCCTCCTCCTCCCGCGTAACTTTACGCGGACGAAGCCACGTACGGAGACCCGCAGCTGCGACGGCGTCCGAGAGCAGACCACCTCCATGGCGGCGCGCAGGTCGATGACGTCGCCCATCAGGGCCTGCTTCAGGATGGTGGCGTCGTGCGTTGCCGGGTCTAGGACCCATAGCAGCATGGCGCGCTTGTGGTTGCCGCTCAGCTCCGCCACGATGCGACGAACAAGGTCCTGGTTGAACACGGCGCGGTACTCCTGGCTGATCGCCGCGCGGTGCGCCAGGATGCTGATCACCCTTCGTGCTGTCGCACCCGAACCCTTGGAACGCCTTGTGGAGGTCGATCGCGTCCTGCCGTGGCCACGTTGGCACCAGCGGCACCGTCAGGCTCGCCATCCCTGTCTGTCCCTGCTAGCTGGTGTCGAGTGCTCGAGCGAGCTCTGCCTTTGCCTCACGGGGTCGGGGGCAGCAAGTCGTCTCCTCTAGTGAGTGGAGTGATGATGATGACCCTCCTTCCTCGCACATGGGCATTTTAAAGCAAGCGGCGCGAGAGAGATGCGACGATTCCGGGCGATGGCGGCCATGGGATGGACGACCGCGTCCGATCGACGCGGGTGGTGGGCGCCCACGCTACTATCACGGTATCAGTCGCCGGGACGCCGGAAGAAAACCCTCTCCAGCATTTGATTTTCTACGAGTCAAATATTATGAATTATTGGAGTTAAACTTTTTCTTTCTCCTAAAATCTTTTTAGGAGTCAGTAAACATAGATTTTTTAGAAGAAATATTTAGAGAACTCTTAGAGATGCTGCATGATCTCATTTTCCTAACTAGATCTAATAGATCTGAAGTGTTCTATAACATGGACATACACATGCATAGCGGTGGACACCAACTTCACACATGTGCAGCCGTATTTTATTTTATATAACACGATGGTTTCTAGTTAGAACTAATACAAAGTTATTTGTATTTATTTTATTATTATAGTTTTTATTTAGGAATGTTGTAGGACTATTTCGTGGTAGACGTACAAATTTGTATCCTTTATAACGAGACAAGCACTGATTACACATATGCAACACTTTTTAATTACAGGTGGTAGATCTAATTTTATATTAATGACATGTAACATATTTTGATAAAGATGACTTCCACATTTTTCTCCTACAACTAAAAAAACAAAACATGTCCGCACCTGCGATCTCTGCCTCCGCCCGCGCCGGAATCGTCGCATCGCTCTGAAGGAAAGCCGCAATCACTGCACCCCCCGTGCGATGGATCTGTGGCCCGCGGCTGAGCCCTGCTCCCTGCGCTCCAAGAAGGAAAGATCAATCACTCTCCTCCGTAGTCCTCACCCTGACCTCACCGACGCGGCGGTGCGCGCGCTTCGTCGGTCTGCCTGTGCGTGCGATCCCACCCTCACTTCACCCCGTGCCCGGCTCCCGTCGCTCCTTCGCGATAGCGCTTCCTGCTATCCATATCCCCTCGCTCCCCACGCTCGCCCGATCGCCTGCCGGCGTGCCCTCTCGCTCGCCCGGCACTACGCTGCCGTGCTCGCGCCGCAGCCGCTGCATCCACAGCGGTCGCGCCCATCACACCCACGAAGGCCGTGCTGCTGGGATCCACGACAACCGCGCCGCCACCACAGGGTCGGGCAGCTGCCGGAATCCACAACCGGTGCGACTGCCCGGCCCATCCGCGATCTACGCCGCTGTCGTCCATCACCGACCCGGCCAAGACGCCGCCGCCGCTGGAATCTTCGCTCGCTCCCCCACGGTGCCCCCTGTAAACCTTGGTTTGCGTCCCGACAGGTGCATCCCTCGCATAATCAAATCACCACCTGCCATCAAGTCACCATCTGCCTTGGTTGGTGATTTTAAACTGTTTCAAACTGCTTCTGTTATCTAAAAGGTCTTTGCCTGCTTTTGTTCTGAAATTACTTTTATATTAACAGATCTTTGCCATGTCTCTGTCATGTCATAGATTTATCAAATGTTTGGTTTAGCTCTAACATGCACATATCAATTATGCGACAGATTGTTTGCATCATTATTATGTAGATATAGTGCCAGCTTGACATGTATGCAGGCAAAGTTAAGATCTACCTTTTATGTTCCATTTTCAAGGATATACTAATTTAGAGCAAGGGTCAGTGGATGGTTCAGATCTGAATAAATTATTGTTGAGTTGGCCCTAAGATAGTTGGTTTTTCTTTTTGCCTGAAGTGACAAAATTGTTTACTTTCCCAGGTGATGCTTGGTTTATTAGTCTTCCATGGCACAGATGGATCATCCTGCTGAGTAAGATGAGGTCTGATCTGCAGAAGCCAACTTCATACAAATTGAGACTATTTGTATGCAACTCTTTTATTAGTTCTTCATTTCTTTGTGATACCACTACCTCTGTTTTGCCAGATGATGACACTGCTACTGCTGCTTTCTGATCAAATTGGGGTTTGACAGTCATTTTTGGAGCTCCTTTTACTTTTTATTTCGTCGGCTAGATTTGCATTCTAACCAACTTTGTGAGCTATGATGATTTAATGTTATTGATTGGAAAAAAAGATTTTTTTTATGGCCTTGGAGCAATCCGGTTGGTCTTTGCATGAATAGGGATAGTATACAAGTTTTTTTTAGCTGTAAATGCTTGATGATTAAGGACATAAGCTGTACTAGATTAGAATGTCAATATGTGGTTCTCTAGAACATCTCATGGAATAAGTGGCTTGGGATATTTGTTTGATTTATTTAGCTTCTCTAGAACTTCTTGTGTAATCTGAAATTGGAATTGATTGTAGCTCGTATGCTGGCAGGAACAACAGAGAGATCATTGTTCTTAGCCTCACCATCTCAAAGGCCCTCATTTGATTTTGTCCTAGCCTGTGTGGTCAACCGAGGCTGGTTGGCTCCTCTCACCCACACCATCACCATGGGATTTTGGTATGTCCACTATGTGAACTCAATAGATGATCACTAATGGAGTCAGGCTTGTATTGGTAATTCTCATCCTTGTAGCTCTGCTGCTTATACTCTTGTCCAGGTCATTTTGGCAGTCTTCAGTGGCGACGGTCACCATGGTCTGCTGTAAATGCATCCTTGTGCAGCTATGTGGTTATGCCCAGCCAACTGTAAGTTTCATTATTTTCTTCTCTGTGCTTTCTGATTCATGCTTTCCTCTATTTCAACAAAGGTTGCATATGGTTTATGATTCAAATTTGAATTGGGGGCAGATACTGAATGTCTCGATTACTATACTGATTTTTCAATTATGGTCCTCTCTGCAATTGGATTAGTGACGATGTAAAAAAGTTAAAAACCAACAATGTCTCTCCAACACGTTTTTTTTTGTACAAAACAACAAAACATAGTACTTTTTATTATCTGAGAAAACAAAAAAATGGCGGTGCATTGCCTATTTGTTAATTATCTGAGTCACCATCACCTATTGTTAATTACCTATTAAATGATGGTGACTTTGCATTGGCACCTCATGGAACTATCTCAATCTCATGTTTGTTTCAGAGGAGATTTCAACTATGCGATAGAGGCAACCACATCTTGATTGGAGAAGACTAGAGGAACTCGGCAAGCTCATTGAACTAAAAAGGTATAGCCTTCAATTTTAGATAGCAGTTATTGGCGCTTGAATTTCCAACGATATTGTTTTTGATAATGATCCTGCACCCCATACAGGTTAATCACTACCTAACAAGTTGCTAGCTTGGTGTTGGAAACTAGATTAATTTGATGGCCAGAATTATTTTCAGCCTTTTGATTTTGGGACATTGCCAAGGGTTGTCAAGCCGTGCAATTTGTTGGGCATGCCAAAATAAAGTTTGATACATTTGATAATAGCTGCTTCAGCTCTGAATTTTATTCTCAACACTGAAATAGGTTCATTCATCAGTCACGTTAACTTAACAGTAGAAGATAATTGTGATATATGACCTGTCAGTACCATGTTTATTTGACAAACTCTTGCAGCCTTCGAAATCTAAAACTATGTTGCACCTGTTATGATTAATCAGAGGATCACAAATATATGTAAAATGCACAATTTGCATGGAAATACTTTGGGCTGTGTGTTTTTTTAAACAACTGTGTTTCTCGATGATCCCCTCACACCAGCTATAAGTCACGCTGCTGTCTATCAACTATAAATTTAGTGCTCATCTTCAATCGCAGCTTCTCTCGCCGCCGACAAAAGATTGTGCCCACCATCACTTTCTCTTGTAAGGTGGCGTGCGTTTGATTTATTTCGCATGGTCCAAGTGGGTGATGGTGTTGCCTTTCTTGATTTGAAAATTTTGTAACTTCTGTATTACATTTTGCTCAGGTTCAGAGCTATGTAAATGTATGGTTTTGTGTATTGGAAATGACCAGACAACAGACATACATATAAAGAAATAATTCTTTTTCAAGCTGAGCAATGCCTACCCGACTTCAGAACTACTAATATCATCTTATAAAGCTGAGCAATGCCTACCCAACTTCATTGATCATCTTATAAAGCTGAGCAATGCCTACCCAACTTCATTGCCTTTGAGTATACTCTATATTACTGAATGTGGTAATATGATGATCTTTTACAGGAGACTGCATCACCCATGCCTGGCATCGTGGGCTGGCTGTACAAGCTTGAAGTATCGGATTTGTCACTGCCTGCTGCTATTGTTAAGAGAGTGCGTGAAAAAAACATTGGCTAAACTCGTTGATAAACAAGGTCTTAGGGGGTGTTTGGCTCGAGCGACTAAAATTTAGGAGGTGTGTCGAGAGGATGTTGCATGAGGTATTCGGATACTAATAAAATAAATAAATTATATAATCCATCAGTACTCCACGAGACGATTTTTTAAATCTAATTAACCTGTCATTAGCACAAGGCTACTGTAGCAAAATATTGTCAAATCATGGGCTAATTAGTTTTAAAAGATTCGTCTCGCAAATTAGTCGTAAACTATGAAATTAGTTTCGTAATTAGTCTATATTTAATACTTCATGCATGTGTCCAAACATTTGATGGGACAACGACTAAAATTTAGGAGAGGGAACCAAACACCCCCTTAGAAGAGGTTTTTGCTACTTTTGGCTAGCTATCAGTATATGGATTAGCACTACTATTAAATCACTCAATTCTGAAGTCGAAGGAGTAGCATGTGATATTTACAGCTCTTTTGGTTTTTCTTATCAGTGATTGCACATTTCCAGAAGCTTTTTATTTTTGTGGTTTTTTTGGAAGAGTTGTTGCTAAAAAACATAGCAGACAATGATATACAAGGTGTTCTACGTGAAACTTATTTGTAATTATTGCATATTAACTTTGCTTGCCTTTGGAAATGAGGGGAGATAGATATTAGTTTGGTTGCATGTTGTTTGTACTTGGCAGAGTAGAATGCTTATGTATTTTTGTGCTCATCTTATTGATTCGAAAATTCTGGAAACCCGTTGCAATGCAAGGGCCACGAATACCTAATCAAGATTCATCAAACAACATAAGATAGTGTTCAACCAAAAAACACTAATATTGTGTGCTTCCTTGTTCCTTTTATTTTTTCCTTCAAAGTTTTCCTTTTTTCTAAATTTAACTTCAGTTTTTACTATTAGTTTTTGAGAAGCTCATGACATCAAATGTCCAGGTTTACCAAGCACGACGAAGTGGCCTGTGATCCCTGTCCTCGTGCTTAAATTTGAATTTTGATGGCATTATTTTTTTACCACAAAGATGCGTGCAATTTTTGTCCTTGGGCTGAAGTTTGAATTATCTTGATGGCATTATATATTATTGTGTGTGTTTTAACGATACAACACACGTTCATACTTTTCTTTGTGTCACTATTTTTTCCCGTTGTAACAGACGGGCATTTAACGAGATTTGGGGAGGAAGAGACCGGGGTGGGCGGCGGGTGGGGTGCCGTTGAAGTAGGGGGAGGGGCGTCGCCGCGATGGATCAGGCGCCAGAGGCGATCCAGCACCGAATGGGCGGCGCGTGAGGTGCCGGGTGGCACCTGAGGTGATCCTCATCGCCACCGCGCCTGCTAAAGCCGGGGGAGGGGCGTCGCCGTGACGGATCGGGCGGCGGCGGCGATCCAGCGCCGAATGGGTGGCAGGTGAGGTGCGGGGTGGCACCTGAGGTGATCCCTGTCGCCACCGCGCCTGCTAAAGTCTAGGGAGGGGCGTCGCTGCGTCGGACCTAGCGGCGGCAATCCAGCCCCGAATGGCCTCGCCAGGCCAGTGGCCGCAAACTCCGTGGCACTCGCGCCCGCCCGGAAACGCAACATTCGCATATCCTCCTCTCCAGCGTCGTCTCCCTCCCTCTTCTTCCTCCGTCGTCACCGCCGTCGGGACAAGCAAGGTGCGATCTTGACGCCGGATTCCTCTACTTCCTAAAGGCATCGCCTTTACTCTGATATGTGGTTTTATATGGTCATGAGTTGCTTGTGATCTCTTCTTTGGGGGTGGTTTTCTGGCCAGTTACTGACTTACTGTTGCGGGCCAGAATTGGGTCACTGGGATGTGGTTCTTGCCACCGTGCTCTCTGTGACTGTGTTAATTTCACGAACTTTACTTTTAGATTAAATGTCACTTTAACATCGGTATTTAATTTCACAGTATTGTTATCTTATCGTGCGATCCGAGTGTTTTTACTATACAAAAATTTAACTGTGCCGTAGCAACGCACGGGCACGCTACCTGATCCTTATAAAAGTAATTGCATCGTTTGTATGCCGAGGATGAAGAACCACACCAACATATTTCATTTTTCCGGCATGCTGCCTGTTTGTCATGACTCATGCGGCACCAAACAAGGAAGATGATCTGCGTGGGGATATGCCTAAGATTTTTGGGATTTCTTTACTATTTTATGATATTTAATTTATTAATTGTTTTATTCATTTATTTTAGAAAATCAAGGGCTATGTTTTTTTGAGGTCTTACCTCTATAAATCAAGTCAAACTTTAAGTTTGACTAGCACAGATCAGGATAAGTCTTTGTCCAGATTCATTCCGAGTTATTTTTTTTAAGACGGAGGGTACTCTTTCTGTTCCGGAAATTGTAATTCTAGTTTTTTTGTTGAGTCAAATAATTTGAATTTTGACAAATATAATATAAACAGTACTAACATCTCTGAACAAAATAAGTATATCATTAAATAACTATAGAATATATTTTCAAGATAAATTAATTTGGTGATATAAATGCTACTACTGTTTACTTAAATTTGAGCTAGTTTGGCTAGCACTGATTTTAGAATTAGTTTTTTTTATGATGTGAGTAGTTTTTTCTAGCTATACACTATGCGCTGTCGTCGTCGTGCACAGTACTGGTCGTGCATATCTTTCCTACTATGGCGATAAAGGGAGTGCGTGTTTAGTTCGTAAATTTTGGGAATTTGGCTACCGTAGTATTTTCGTTTTTATTTGGTAATTAGTGTTTAATTATGGACTAATTAGGTTCAAAATGTTCGTCTCGTAATTTACAACCAAACTGTGTAATTAATTTTTTTCGTCTATATTTAATGTTTTATGTATGTATCGTAAGATTCGATGTGATGACTACTATAACACTTTTTTGAAAACTTTTTAGAAGTAAACCAGCTCGGAGTAGCCCTGTAGGCGTTCTCTGCTGCCCGTGCCCGGCCCGGCGGGATTCGTGAACAGAAGAAGCACGCGAGCAGCAGAGTTGGATGAACATACACACAGACAGTCAGACAGAGACAGTGCTGTATTTTCTTGGAGCTTAGAAACGGCTTGGTTGACTAAAAGTTTAACAAAATCCTCCAGCAAGTCCTCCCAGATCCATACTTTGCAGCCATTGTCCTGTGGACATGTTCGGCTGATATTAAAACCGGCTGATAAATTGGCTAAAACTATTTTATTATGAGAGAAAAATACTATATATTCTAGCTAATAAGTTGGCTGATAAGTTGAAGCCAACGGGCTTGTGCAAACTCAAATCATTAAGGCCTCGTTCGTTTGCTTGAGTTCCGTTCCTGTCCCTGAAACTTTCCAGGCCCAGATAAAGCGCCGAGTGTTCGGCTGGCCAGAATCGGCTGGCTATTTGGCTACAGTTTTCAGCCGAAGCAGTGTTTTTCTCTCACAAATTTTCAGCATAAACAGTGTTTCCAACACGAACAGTAAAAATTTAAGTCCAGCCGAACACTCTTGTGGATCCAGGTGCGTAACTCGTTCCAGGCCCAGATACACCAATTAATTGTCACAGAGTTGGTGCAACTGCCGTTCGTTTCAGCCAGGAATGATTACAGGGTTCCGTTCCTATTTAGCTGTCCTTTACCGCCATTGCTACTGTAGGTTGTGGCTGTTTTTCTCTACGCATTCCTTATAGATAAAAAGCAGCATTGTGGTTGTACACCATGTTCACTTAGCTTATAAGCCGTACTTTTTTCAGCCAACGAACAGAATTTTTCTCTCACAACAAATTAGACCACAGTACTTTCAGCCATGGCTTATCAGCCAAACGAACATGTCAGTAAAGAGCAACTCAACAGGCTCAATAATTACAACTTGATGTAAACACTTGTTTGACAGCAAATCAATGTTGACAGCAACTTGACAATATACATTAGCAGCTTGTTTGAGAGCAACTTAATAGTAAACATTTATCTACATGCATGAAAAGCAAGGGACTGAAACGATGGAGAAGTAGCAAAGTAGCAAACAAAAATAAAGTCTTGATCTAGCTTTCAGCGTTTCAGTCTTGATCAAGACAAAATAGAGTTTGAACTGGCATAAGCAAAAATCTCTTATAGAAGTTACAGGCACTCTATGTGAAGACCATAGACCTTAGCCCTCCTGCATACTCAAGCCTGGTAGACAAAAAGTTTAACATCAGTTCCAAGAACAGTGACAAATCTGGAAAATGATACTATGTAAGGAAATAGAAAATATGATACTATGCAATGATACTACTAGACAGTAAGGAAACAATAAGAATGTCCAGGTTAATATATCTTTAGTGCCATCAGGAGCTCCGCTGCCCACACAAATTAAAGCCCCACCTCCGAGCATCCTCACCGGCCAGCAGGAGCTCGCTCGACTAGCTGTGCCATCGTTGTTCCACCAACGTGCACCTCAAGTCAAGAACAAGAAACACGAGGACCGGAGAGGGGAAGGAAGAGGGAGGCGGCGCCTTACTGGTGAGAAGGCGGCGGAGAGGGTGGACGTTGGATGGGAGATGGTCATCATCGGTGCTGTGCCGCGCCACCGCACTGTCAACTCGCGCCGTCGCCTCTTTGCGGCGCCAACTGCGCCGTCGCCTCGCGGTGACTCCAGGCTTCGATCCGGAGGGTAAGACACGAGGATCTGATCCGGGTCGTGGAGTGTGGGGGAAAGGCCAAGCCGGGCCGGTTTTCTTTCCAGGCTAGGCCAAAACGAACAGCTATTTTAATTCACATCTGGATTGGAAACGGGTCGCAGCAGTCCACCCGGAAGGGGCACGGGAACAGGCCAATCCGACACAAACGAACGAGGCCTAAGCAGGAAATCGGGGGGGGATAGATGACGAGGGATTAGGCTCAAAATGTTGAGTGCGTGTTCAAATAAAATAGTACTGTACAAGACTAGTGCGAGATGATGAGGTGTGATTACTGATTAGTAAACCTGGTTGGGACACTCGATGAACTTGGCTGCATGTTTCGTGAAGTCTGAGATTCCCAAATCACAGCAAGCTTCCGGCAATCGCAGTACA